TCTGTTCTTATATATCAGAGTTCTGTCCATTGCCCAGCAACTGATCTTTTACTATATTCATTTTCCTCGCTCTATTTCACTGTTCAATATCTGCAGATTCTTCTCTCCTCCACATTAACCATTGCAATTGTGGACTAGCCTCTAGTATAACTGTTGTCAATTGCTTGCAGTTTTGGAGAATAATTATGAGTATTTATCCCAGTTATTTAGAATTTGTTTTACATTAGGCAGATGCATCCCATAATCACAGCCTCTTGACTATCTTAAATTTATCATTTCTATAGGATGGCATCCTATCTCTACATAACCTTGATTTACACCATTAACAGGCATATGCTGTATGACTACTGGGGAAAATGATGGTGATCTCTGAACCCCAGGCTGACCCACCTCCAACTCTGGCTGAACAGTTAGTTCAAGATTAACTCTTTCTCTTGAAATAGGCTATTTAATAAAATTGCTCTCCTGCTTTTTCAGCTTTTCTCTGGCCTGACCACCCTTGGATGCAGTTTCTTTCCCTCTTTCCTCCGACAGGAAACTCCTGTTGCTCAGTCAGCAGGACTGAGCCTTTTTATTCTCCCTTTATGAGTGTTCCTCACATTCCAAGTGCTTCCACCTCTACCCTCAACCTCTCCAGTTGCCCTGGCAATTCTGCAATCCTTTCAGAAAAGAGAGAGTAGAGTGACCCTCTTTTTTTTTTTTCATTTCAGTCATGTTTGTTTGTTTGTTTCTCAGGCCCCTCCATTTCCAACTGCAAATTTTCCAACTGCTCCGCCATTCTTTCAAACATTTTAAAAACAAAATATATGAAGGAGAAAAAAAGAGAAAATCCCCTCTGGGCATAAATCAGGGATATCCCAGTGATAGTAAACATTATAAACGTTTTTTGCTGGTATCTTGAAAAACAATCCATTCCTTCACCCCTGCTATTTCCTCTATGGCATTTGAAATCAAATCTCCCAAATTTATCCTTAACACTTGAGTACCATATTGGGCACTATTTGTAGCTTATCTTTACTATTTTGTAGGTTCTTCATTTTCCACACTTTATCCCTACTGGGTTTATCCCCTATAACTAGATAGGAGAGAAAGAAGGATGGGGACAGGGAAGAGAGAGAGAGAGATCCATGAATCTAATTTCTTTCTTTTCATTTCTTCTTTGCTTATAGCTGGTCTTTGTTTGTTGGGGGACACTGTGGGAAGTTGTGTTTCTTTCCTCACCTACCTAAGAAATTCTTTGATTGGCTTTAATAAAAACCTGATGGCCAATTAGCTGGGCAAGAAGTAGAAGGTACAATTTTCTGGAATTAGAAAGGAACTCTGGAAGGAAGAAAAAGGAAGACCTTTTCCCCAGGAGATATGAGAGGAGACAGACATGACTATGGGCCTAGAAGGTATAGCTAGCTAGCCATATGACTGGATTAGGCTAGGTTGTTGGGTTAACTTAGGTGAGCTAGTTGAGCGTCTGTCCACCTAAGCTTTAAAATTTAGAAAGTCTCTGTAGTTATTTGGGGATCTAATTGGTTAAAAAATAACTGCTGCCCTATTAATTTCCAGCACTAATTATACATGCAGAATATTAATAATCACTTTACATTTGCTACTTTGTGGGTTCTTTTTTTCCCACCGGTTATCCCCTACCAAGGTTTCAACCCCAATCACTAGATAGGAGAGAAAGAATGATAGAGGGATAGAGAAAGAGGATAGAGAGAGATAGAGATCCTTAAATCTAATTTCTTTCTGGTTTCTTCTTTGAATAGTACTACTAACAAACCACAACTGACAAACTATTCCCTGAACTACCACCAACCACCTTGTGTATCAGGGCTCCAGCATTATACCTTCTGAAAAACGTCCACAGAACTCCAAATGTCACACAATCACAGAAACTATCTGCAGTTGGCAAAACTACTCCTCTACTAGAACACTGGGCAAATCATAGTCATCTGCTGTGTAGCAGCCCCATATCCCTACACCTCAGATTAAAATGGAAACATATTCTAGTAATATTTCTGTGTTTTAAAGAAAGCTAAAATTCCTAAATTCACACTACAGATGTGTATTTGAACTTTTACAAAAAATATTGTACAAAATTTCATTTCATTATTTTATATTTCTCTTGGAAATTATTTATTTTGCCCATGTTATTAATTGTGTATTAGAAGTATACAGAATATGAATTTGACATGGTTTTTTAATCTTCGACTTTTTAATTTCTGCATTTCCCATGTAATTTCTAATTTCATGTTTCTTTTCGATGCATTGGTTAGTTTAGCTAAAGTCAATGTCTGTTTTCCTTCATTACTTTAACAATGTGTGTTTGCTGGGCAGTGGTGGTACATGCCTTTAATCCCAGCACTTGGGAGGCAGAGGCAGGTGGATTTCTGAGTTTGAGGCCAGCCTGGTCTACAGAGTTCCAGGACAGTCAGGGATATACAGAAAAACAAACAAACAAACAAACAAACAAACAAAATGTGTGTGTTTTATTTCTTTGTTCTATGCTTTGGCTTTTACTATCATTAACTTTTATGATATATGTGTGATTTGATTCTACTTTGTCTTTTTATTTTGTTGTTATTTTGGTTTTTTTGTTGCTTTTGGGTTCTATTTTTCATTTTAGATTTTGAGTGAGTATTTACCTTTAGAGTTTCCCTTTTATATATACATAAAATATTTGAAGTTACAAATTTTCTTCTAATAATGATCTTGAATGAATTTCTAGTTTGAGTACACAGCATTTTCAATGCTAATTTTATACATTTTAGAATTCTGGTTTAATTTCTTCTTTAAATATTTTTATATTAAACTTTATATATAAAATCCATATATAGTTCCTTGTAACATTTACTTGAGTTAATTATATTTTATTTCACCATCAACCAGAAATGCTCTACTACCTCATTTTATAGAATTTAAGATTTTTCTTGATAATTTAATAAAGGGACATTTAAAAACAAATTCTCATATGTTTGAAAAGATAATCTTGTCTTTCTTTGAAACTTGATCATCTGGCCACATTTACCTACAAGACAGTCTGTAAATAGTTAACATAAATTTTGTGTGTGTGTGTGTGTGTGTGTGTATATATATATATATATATCTTTATGCTACAATTTAAAAAAAAAAAAAAGCTGAGCACGGTAGTTTACATCTGTAATTCCAGCATCTGAGAGATGGAGACAGGATGACTCGAAGTTTTAGGTTAGTGTGTCTCAGAAAACAAACTAACCAAATAAACCAACACCCTCCCCCACAAGAGTACATTTCCTTTTAAAGCACAATTGTTTTATTATTTAAGCTATATAGTTTATCTCTTCATGGTAAAAAGTTTGACTTCTAGAAAAGCAAAGAAGTACTTTTTCATAAATTTAGAAAACAGATGGTTAATAAGAGAGGCCAAGAAAATATATTCTAGAGTATAAATGATATATTGCATTAACATTATATAGCTTCATATACATGAAGTTTTATACTATTATTTTTAATAGACTTTTATACTATATATTCTGAGTAACCAATAAAAAATGAAGATAAGATGCTTGTAGGTCTACAGTATATAGATCCAAACTTCTTAGGAGGAGGAGAAAATGTGGGTCATTGTTGTCAAAGTGAAGCATGTTATCAACAAAAGCTTTTAAGAGGTGACTGTATCTAAGCTCAATGATTAAAGGAAAGTGGGATGCTCCAAATAAATGACAAAAAAAAAAAAATTGGGAGAGTTCTAAAGAGCAAAAGGTATCAAATGGAAAAACTATCTGAAATTAAAAAAATATCTTAGAGGTTTAATAGAATAAAAATGCAGACGCAAAAAGCAGTTAAATAAATGATGAATCAGAACTAATTAAATTTGAAATTTGTAACAAAATATTGACAAAAGCAAATACAAAAATAAAGGCTAAGAGATGTGTGCTACAATATCAAAAGTTCTAACACAGTTGACTCATATCCCAGAAAGAGAAACATAAAAATATATTTAAAATAAATGGTGTGAAAGTTCCCAAGATTTGTGGAGCCATTATGAAGTTATGAATTTAAGAAGCTTGTTAGAACTCTTAACAGAATAAATAAAAAACAACAACAAAAAACAAACCCAAAACAAGTTGAGGCATGTTTGAAGTTGCCACAAAGAAAAGATATAAAAATTGTTTGAAAACAATCAGAAGGAAAAAACCACATTGTATACATTAGAAGCAAAGTTCAAAACACTGAGGATTCCTCATACAGAAAATACTGAAACTAGAAGATGATGGGGTATCATTAAAGCTCGTTATATTACATAAATTCCCAGCAAATGAGAGCAAATCTCAGCTCATGGCCTGACACTGTCTATAAATCTAAATCTAGGAAAGTAGTTTTTAGGAAAGAAGGAAGATAAAAGGTAATTTCAAATAAAAGAAGCTCCAGAAATCATTTTGCAACGCCTACATGAAATACAAATAATGTTCACAAATAAATATAATAATAAAAGAATATTTTGTCTCTTAATTAATTAATTAATGTGACCATTTAAAATGTATAATATATCTGTAGATGCTATATAATTATAGTATTTATGATAATGAAGGTAGATAAATATATGTATATGGTTACAAGATGTCTGTACATTGTATGAAGTGTTATGATGTTATCTCTAAAACACATTGAGTCGTTAACAAGATACACTGTGATACTTGAAACTAATGATAAAAATAAAGATAAAATGACTATGAATAAATTACAATGTGTTTGTAATAACAATATTTAAATAACTTGAAAGTGGAAAGGCAAAGAAAAGCAATAAATTATAGTAAACACAACAGAAAATTACATTAATGCAAATAGACTAAACACACTAGTCCTAAGACTGCAAAATACACAAGACCTAAAATAAGCTCTCTATAGGAGAGCTAATAGATGTCTATTAACAGTATGCAACGTGAATGAAGCTAAACCAGAAGAATTAAAGCTGTGAGCAGGTAATTCTGTGGTCTTTATAGTTTCTTTGAAAGTGTGAGTCTTACCATGTGGAACTGTGGTTTGGAAAGGGCGACTTGGGCTTTTCAGGTTCCATAAAGTCAAGCTACCATCTGAGTGGCTGCACATGAATTGTTTGCCCTCGTGATGCCAATCAATTGAATGAATAGCCTAATAAAATAACAATAAGAGAAAAGTACAGGGGGAAAGTAGATATATTATATCATTATATATTCCAAAATATTTTGACATAAAATTATTATACTGATAATATGTTAATTTTTCTGACCCAGACTAAGTTGTCTTTGGCTTCAACCTGTTACAGACCTTGAAAACGCTACCAAAACTAATTTCCTTAATAAAGAATAGTTCTGAAAAAATTATAACTTCAGATTCCAGAACATTTTATTGTAGATCCAATGACATTCCTATATCCTTATCATCCCTGTTCAAAAATTGTTCACATAGAAATAAAGCATGGTTACCAGAAGATAATATCTTATAAGATACAGGCCTAGTATCACTTAGAGTAAATAATTTTAAAAAGAATTTGGGCTAGCACCTGAAGCCAGTCTATATGCCAGATCCAATGGTATGCATTTTACATAAAATATATTACTTAATCATATAAAAGGTATTATGTTTACTTTATTATTATTTCTCAATTTACATATAGTGAAATTAACCTAGAGACAAGTACTCATTTGCTTTTTAAAGTCACACAAGTTAAAACCAATCTCCTTCTAAAACTCATAGTCTTAAGTGCTGCACAATTGCCTCAAGCATATACCATACTAATTGATTTAAAGCAACTAAGATTTAATTTTTAAAAATTTCCAAGTTCATTCTGTAGTTTTGAATTAGATAAGAGTTAGCAGTAATTAATTTATTTTTTTAGTTGTATTGGTCCCTGTGGTAGTACTGTATCTTCTATAAAGTAGATTTTAAAGAAAGGTCTCCTGAATTAGTAAGCAATTAATATTGCATTTCCAAATCTGTGGTATTCTTTGTGATAAATTGAACATCATATTTTATCCATTGTGTTAAGTACAATAAGGCGAGTCTTGGTGGACAAAAAAAAAAAATCAGAAAAGTGTGTAAAGTATCTTTTCCCCCAAAGAAACTAGAGAGAAAGTCAGTGTAGGTGAATATAAACTTTTAGCACACGTGTCCTCATACAGTTTTGTAACCAAGCACAAACATTTCAGCCAGTGTGTATAGTACTAGAGTTACAGCTAACTGCTATCATGACTAATCATTAAAATATAGGATATAAAATATGATGTAGACCTCAAAATATAAGATTAAAGTGAATATAAAAGGCAGCATGAATTCCTGGACTTGTAGGGTTTATCTTGGTTTTCTCTCCCCTCTCACTCTAGCCATCATTTCTATACAGATTATATTTTTCTTAGCTAGTCTCCAACAAAAGTGTATAGAGAGTTAACATCTTTACTGTCTTCTCTATTTCTTTTTCTTTCTGAAGGTGGTTCAAACAAAATGTTGCTTCTTTTGTCAACTTTGCTGAACCTCAGTCAATTTAAAATTCTTAAAACTACTTGGTCAGCAAAAGTAGAGGACGAAGAAGTACCTAGACCCAAAGTTTCATCCTACCCCAGTAAAACCCTACCCAATGGGGAAGACAGAATGAATGTGTGTGTGTGTGTGTGTGTGTGTGTGTGTGTGTGTGTGTGTATTATATGGGGAGTCTAACTGTCCCTTGATGAATAGTCATAGATGAATTTATTTTTTTGTGGAAACCCAATACTATATTGAGAAATAATTAGCCATGAAAAATTACTTCCATATATATATATATATATGGAGAAGAATTATAGTAAACAGGCTAGTAATATAAACAGTCAGGTTTTAGAGATCAGAATTATAAAACTGTATAACTAAGGAGCTGGCAATTGAGATGATAGTACATATTTGATTTTTGTTTATTTAGTTACATCACATTATTTTCATTAAAACAGGGGCTTATTAGAAACCAAATATCAATCAACCAATGCTAAAGATATAGAGCATAAAAGAATTTGGAGGAAAAATACTAGTCATATTTTGTCAGCTGTGACTTTTTCCTGAAAACAAAAATTCTAAACTATATAGCAATGTGACAAAAAGAAATAGGCAATTCCCCATGGATTCAAAGTATTTCCCTCCTATCAAACTGAAAATTTTCTCTGAGATTATTAAAGGAATATCAATATAAGGAAAAATTGTTCTTATAGAAGAAATCCTTTCTTTATTTGTTTATTGAGAAAAATTTCATTCTCTAGTCTGGAGTGGCCCAAAGCTTACTATGTAACTCAAGTTGGATTTGAATTTGTGTTAATCATTTTGCTTCACCTTCCCAAGAGCTGGGAGTAGATTCATATCCTACAACACCTAGCTGGAAGTAACTTTTCATGGCTAATTATTTTTCAATATAATATTGGATTTCCAAACAAAAATTAAACTCCTCTATGCATATTCATCACTGGACAGTTAAATAGTTCAAATAGATTTTTGGTGCCTAAGGAACTAGTAGGATTTTGATATATAGAAGAGACAAGAAGAAAGTTCATAATGAGAAAGCAAATAACAGGAACAAAATCTTAAAGGTAAGAAGTAAATTATAACATTAAAAGACAGTGAACACCATGCTCCAAATGTGTAAACTATTTATCAAGATGCAATAAATTATACTTTTAAAAAAAGGTCCACAGCTTTAGTTCTCATGCCTAGACCATGTTAACAAACAAAAGAGCCATTCAAAGGTTCTGCTGTAGAGAATCTTGTGATCTGATTGTATTTTTGAAAGAAAAAGGACATGCATGATAGGATCATGGCTGTCCTCTGAGAGGCCCAATCAGCAGCTGACTGAGACAGAAGCAGACAGATACTTACACCCAACATTGGACTGAAGTCGAGGACCCCCCTGTGGTTGAATTAAAGGAAGGATTGAAGAAACAGAAGGGGAAAGCATCCCCATGGGAAAACCAGCAGTCTCAACTAACCCAGACCCCAGGAGCTTCCAGAGACTGAGCCACCAACCAGAAGCATACACAGTCGGAGGCCCCTGGCACAAATATAGCAGAGGTCTGCCTGGTCAGGCCTTAGTGGGAGAAGATGTGCTTAGTCCTTGAAAGACTTGAGGCCCCAGGGAAGGGGAGGTCTAATGAGGAAAGGGGGTTTAGGGGGGAGAACCCTCTTGGAGGCAAGGGGAAGGAGGAATAGGATGAGGAACTATGGGGTAGATTAGGAGAGGGCAATGACTGGAATGTAAATAAATAAAAAATTTTTTAAAAAAGAAAATCTTTGTTAATGAAGAATATGCAGATGTGTAGATGTTAAGAGACTCCTATAACTAGTTAAGCATTGTAACCTAGTGTGTTGGGTGTAGAAATGAGGACAAAGAGGAAATAAGAGGATGGTAGTGCTAATAAAGACAAAATCAAAGAGCTTATAAAAACGGATTGCATATAAGCATGAAGAAGAGTTAAATAGAAAGCATTACTATGGACACTTACTATGGACACTCTAAAGTGATCTTTTAAAAGATAGGGGAAGGCTAGGGTGCTGAGGTGGGAGTGGGTGGGTGGGGAAGCACCCTCACAGAGGCAGGGGGAGGGGGAGTGGACAGGGAGTTTGTGGAAGAGAAAATGGGAAGGAGGATAACGTTTGAAATATAAATAAATAAAATAACCAATAAAAAAGAAAAAGGAAAAAGGGAAATGCAAGAAGATATATTCTGGAAACGTCAGAGGAGAAGAGGCAAATGGTACCAAGATTTCTCACTCTAACTGGACTCTAGCCGAGGCTTGATCATAATCCATTTCATGTCCTTTTGGAGTGGATTAAGATTCTCTCTCGGGGGTAATATGAGCATCTTCTGACTAAATATAAGTTTGACACTATTCTATGCTGTCACTATTAAAATATTTGAAAAAAGCATTCTTTAAAAAAAGAAAAGAAAAAGAACATAGAAAGTGGTATGAGCAATAAAGTATAAATTTAGTTCTGATGGTATTTATTTATACTTAACTATTAAATTACTAGATATTAAATATAAAGCTTAAGAGAGGGGTAAAGGCCAGGGATTTTAGTTGTATTAAGTTTATCGCTTGTAGGCCGGGCGGTGGTGGTGCACGCCTTTAATCCCAGCACTTGGGAGGCAGAGGCAGGAGGATTTCTGAGTTGGAGGCCAGCCTGGTCTACAGAGTGAGTTCCAGGACAGCACGGGCTATACAGAGAAACCCTGTCTCGAAAAACCAAAAAAAAAAAAAAAAAAAACCAAGTTTATTGCTTGTATAGGTAATATTAGAAATGAGAGCTATTATAAAGAGGAACATAAATCAGGATGGAGCAAAAGACAGTTTTGAGTGAGGGAGGGGCTCACTGCATTGTCTGGCCTCAAACTAGTAACATAACTTGTCTTTCTGCCTCCTTCTGTCAAACATCTAGTATATGCCAGTGTACCAGACTTGAGCACCCATGATTTAAATGAGTCAGAGATGGAGAAAAAAGGCATAATAAATGAGGTAGGCATGAATAAGCAAGAAAAATAACCATTTTAAGAATGATCCTTGGAAAATTACAGAAGAGACCTTTGTATGTAGTGCTGAGAAGAGTATTAATGACTTATAAATTATCTTAGAGACATATTAAAGATAGTTTCTAGATGGAAAAAAGTGCTAAGAAAGTATGAAAAGCTTTGCAGTGAAATGAATTTTATAACTATCTGCATTAGAACGACAGGACCTATGATATGTACTAGGCAAACGCATATAATTTATTTATGTGCATATACAATGTAAGTCAACATATAAAATGATCTCTATGTATAAATTAGGTATATGATCATACTCCACTCAGAATATTTCTGTTTATTTAAAATTTCAATTTCAAAATTAATATGCTCACCTTTTAAGGTTGAAAAATTTGTTTCCTTACATTTTCAACAAAAGGAAAACACAATTCAGCATTCCTCTTTGTTTCCTATTGATCTAGTCTTTTCTAATTCTAGCCGGCTAAATAGTGTTTGGGCTTTTCTCTAGCTCTTTTCTTGAAAAAGGAAGAAACATGCATATCATATCTTTGCATTTTTGTGTGCTTAACAGCAGTAAAAATATTAGCCTAGCTGCTTAGAGTCATTTTTTTCTTATGATTCATATGTACTGGAAACTGATATAATAACATAATTGTATAATATTACTTGCATGTTTTTTTGTTTGTTTGTTTTTTGTTACTCATGATCAAATTGCCCAGATACTATGCAACTAACTTCTAGACTCTTTGGCAATGTAACTATCTCATATATATCATAAATTTTAATTTGAGAGATCCATTAAGAAATGAACTGTGTGCATTTTATGAAATACAACTTTAGCGATATTTTATTTTGATTTTTGAATATTGTGTGGGTGTGTGGAGGTGAGCATAGTCCCTGCCTGAGGAGACCAGAAGAGGGAGCCAGAATCCATGGAGCTAGAGTTACATGTAGTTTTGAGCTACCGGATATGAAAGATGGAACCAAATTCAAGTCCTATGAAGAGTCGTACACACTCTTTACCACTAAGACACTTCTCTAGACCATGAAAGGTATCGTTAGAAACTCAAACTGTACATTTTTTAATTGTTGTGATGCGATGGGGGGGGAAGATAAATACTGTCAAGTATTCCAAGGCAATTAGAAGTCCAGTGGGTGATATTTTTTATTCCTCTAATCTAAAATGAAGTGTTCTAAATGAAATCAATGGGAGAGACTCTTTTTCTGTTTATGTCTTTTAAATTATGTGACAACATATGCGTACAAAAGTGAATGTTAACTAGGCAGAGTTTTTAATCTCTATTTTCTTTCTATCTTCTCCTACTCCTACCTTACTTCTAATTTAAGTATGTCTGATCATCTTTGTGTCCACAGCCACAAGAAATAACCTCCCCTTTCCATCTTCTATCCCAGCTACACTGTCTTCATGTAGCTTCTTTTAAAATGGAGAATTATTAATGGCCTAGATCAAAAGCACAATCAAAAATGTCATCTGGGAGAAACCTAATCAAGCCTCGATTATGTAAATTGTGTATAATAAAATATACCTCAAGATACTTATTGTCACTTATTTGGTCCTATTCTCAAAATACCTCACTATTCTATGAAGTAATAGAAGAAAAAAGCCTTCAAACTGTCTTGAATTTTTAGCCACAGGAAATGAATTCTCTAAGTAAGATTTGGATATTGCCCTTAGAAAACCAAAGGTCAAGAAGCAGATGTGAGTGTGGAGCCTACATAAAAGACAGGGAGATGAGACAGATCAATAATGTATGATAAGTGAAAGAATATATACATAGCCAAAAATAGGTAATGGTCTCCCAAATTGGCAGTCATGGCAGAATTTCTACTCAAAAATAATTGGCAGTTGAAACTCACACAAATAACAAAAGACTATCAAGCACTGAGCAAGAACAAGTAGCGCCCTAGTGACTAAATACATTAGTAAAGCACGAGATTTCAGAGAAAAATAGTGATACATAGTCCCCAAAGCTTTCAAAAATGTCAGCAGAAAGAACTTACCTCATCATAATAAACTCTCAGTTCTGCTCTTTTAGATTTCAAGTCCCAGAATACCACAGTGCCATTTTCATAACCTATTAACAGCTGGAAAACAGTAAAACAACCATTTCTTAATTTTGACATTAATTTGAACTGTTTTCAAATAATAATGATAATATTATAAAGAAAAAAACATGCTATATATCAAAGGCTGATTTATACTAACTTTTCCAGCACTGAAATATGCTTTTCACTTTTAATTTTTTTTTTAAAAAGATGTTGTTGTTGTTGTAATTAAAGACAAATTAAATGGCCCATAGCTTTTGCTGCAATATTAAACATGCAATATAGAACTTTGCTGGGTTCTAAAGAATCAAAGAAACATGTAAATAAACATGTTACAAAATATGTTAAGAATAAAAACATTTTTAAAGAAAAATAGGATAGAAAATGAAGACAAAATAAAGGATGAAGTGTTATGCTTAATTAACTTCTAATATATCATTCAGTGCTATATACCCGGAAAAGTAAACAAAAGTATTTAATAGTTTTGTATTTTTTATTCCAAATCTCTTCACTTTGAACGTCTATTTTATGATATTTCCAACTAATAATGCTGATGCTAGCCCCTCATGCTGGGGATCAAATGTAGATAGGACCTTGGACATACTCAGCAGAATCACTACCACTTAGCTACATCCAAAGCCTTGAGCAAATATTTTAAACTGATGGTTCATACACCTTCAGCTTTTTTAAAACATATTTTTATTGATTCTTTGGGAATCTCACATTATGTACCCTGATCACACTCATTACCCAGTCCTTCCATGTCTATCCACCTACTAAATATATAAAATTCAATTTATGTTGTTTGTATACTCACTGGAGCAAGGTCAAACTGGCAGTGACCTGCTCCTTAAATAGAACTGGGTCATTCCCCTCCCATATTTACCCCAAACCCCTTAAAATCCATAAGTTGTGGAGAGCTAATTTCAGCATCCTTAAAATTTATCCTGTCTACAAGTAATGTAGGCATGGGGAACGAGCAGAGACTGAAGAAATGGTCAACCAATAACCGGTCCAACTTGAGACACACCCATGGGCAAACACCAATCCCTGACACTATTGATACTCTGTTATCCTTACAGACAGGAGTATGTTGTCCTCTGAGAGGCTCTACCCAACAGCTGACTCAGATAGATATAGGCACCACAGCCAAACTGTGGATGGGGCTTGGGGACTCTTATGGAAGAATGGGAAGACCAACAGAATCAACTAACCTGGACCCTTGGGATTCTCAGAGTCTGAACCACCAGCCAAAGAACATACATGGGCTGGATCTATGTCTCACTGCTTATATGTAGCAGATGTGCAGCTTGACCTTCATGTGGGTCCTGAACAACTGAAACAGGGGTTCTCCTGAAAGCTGTTGCCTGCCATATTACCCAAATATTATCTTAGTGTATTCTGTGAAAGATGGAAGGCCCTTATTGCGTTGTAAAGACTCGTCATCTTCAGCCAGAGGCCAGAAACTGCTGGAAATCAAGATAAATTCAACCATGAGGATAGCAGAAGACAGGAGCCTAGTATGGCTGTCCTCCGAGAGGCTCTACCATCAGCTGAGACAGATGCAGATACTTACAGCCAATCGCTGGACTGAGGCCAGGGACCCCTATGGTTGAATTTGGGGAAGGACTGAAGGAGCTGAAGGGAATGGCAACCCAATAAGAAGAACTACAGTATCAACTAAACTGGACCCCTCAGAACTCCCAGAGACTAAACTACCAATCAAAGAGTATACATGGGTTGGTCCATGGCCCCTTGCACATATGTAGCAGAGGACTGCTTATCTGGCCTCAGTGGGAGAGGCTGTGGTTAATCCTGTAGAGACTTGATGCCCCAGAGAAACAGGATGTGTGGAGGAGTTGGTTGGATAGGTGGGTGACAGGTGTGGGGGTGGGAGAATACCCTTTCAGAGGCAAAGGGGAGAGGGGATGGAGTGAAGAACCCTTGGAGGGGGGACCAGGAAAGGGATAGCATTTGGAATGTAGATAAATAAAACAATTGAAAACAAGAGTTCTCTTCAATGACTTCCTGTTTAGGCTGCTACTTTTTGGAGGTGGGGTAGGGGTTGTCACAGAAGCCTTCCATGTCTCTCTTTCTCAATTATGCATCTGCAATCTTTGCTATTACTACAAATGTATCTTCCTTGTTCTTTACAGTCAGCGGGAGCATGGATCATAGACATGATTTCTGGTGAGAGAACAGACCACGAACATGACCTCCAGCTCCCTACTTTTTAACTTCCTTTAAAACGTTAAAGCTTCTTAAAAGTTCTCTATCACATCAATATTAGCTAAGTGCAGTCTACAGTGTAAACTGTACAGGTTCTAAAAGCACCCTGGAGACAAATGTCTATGGTGGACTTTTTAGATTAGATTAGTTGAGGTGAGTAGACCTGTCCTAAATGTAGGTGACAACACTCTGTGAGCCAGGGCCCTGGACCACTGGAATAGGAGAAAGCTTGCTGAGCAATGCTCTCCTGGCTGTGGGTATAATAGGACCTGCAGCGCCATGCTTCTGTCTCTACTCCTTCCTCACCATGGTAGGCTTTCCTTCAACTGCATGATTCCATAAATTAATTCCATAAATTACTTTGGACAGATATTTTGTTGCAGCAATAAGGAAGTAATCATCAATATGCTGGTGTTTATATTTAAATCAAGATAAATTATTTAGAAAATAATAGTCTTTCTTTTAAAACAGAAAATTTTGAAACAGGTAAAATTTAGATGCTATTAAAGAAATGTATTTTAAATTCTCCTATCTATGTTTTTATTTACTTTTCTGTATATGATGTTTTGCTAGTATTGTATGTGGACCACATGCATGCCTGGTGCCTGTTGAGGCCAGAGACAGTCAGAGTCCCTGGAACTGAAGTTACAGTCAGTTGTGAGCTGCTAAGTGGGTGCTGGGACCTAAATAGAGATCATCTTCAAGAGTAACAAGTACTCTCAACTACTTACCCATTGCTCCAGCCCCTAGAGTTATTTTTTAAGATATATTTTATATACAAATGCTTAGTTATAAAACTATAGATGACAATATTTAAATAGATTTGACAAAAGTGTTGAGTTTTCTGATGTGCTAACATAAAGAAAATTACTTTTATAAATGTTAAAATAACAAAATAGTATATAATTCAATAATATTGTCTAAAATCAAATTCATATAAGGTTTTATATGCTATAACAAACTGTATTTTGAACAAATAAAACATTGTATACATGAAAGAAAATGGTGAACAATATGACAAATTTTTATCTAGTGTATATCATGTTTTTAACCTAAAATTTTTTAAAAAACATTATTTAAGCAAAAAAAAATCAATAACACAATCCTTACAAATTTGAGCCGCAGATATATTTAAAATTTTTAAGTCTTTTCAGAAATTTAAAAGTAATTTTTAAAAGAAAAAAAGTCCTTGTCTAGAAAATACTGGGAAAACCCCTAGTAAGCATTAAGATATGAAACACTGGCTATCAAAATATCTTGTTATTGAGATAGCTATGTAAAAATATAATGCAGAAAGTAAGACATTAGAATCACTTATAGAATTAAGGAAGAGAAAATCAGCTCCAAAAATCCAACAGACATTAACTAGATCACTCTGTAATGCTGAGTCTGGAAAAAAAAAACCCAAAAAACAAAAAACAAAAACAAAAAAACCACCATGTAGCAAGATAGAACTACAAAAAACATTTATGATGCCAAATATAATTATATAATTATATATATATATATATATATATATATATATATATATATATATCAATGTAAATAAAAAACAAAGATTAGGTCACATGCACATTATTTTCTCATAAGCTATTAAAACTGTGTCAGAAGAGATTATCTATTTGCAAAGTAAATATTAAATTCCAAACAGCCAAAATTGTAGGCATTACAGTGAAGTAAAATCAAAGGTCAGTGACAAAAATACTTTGGAAACAATATTTCTAAGTTATTAAAGCATAAAATTATTTTTTTAAGTTTGAAAGAAATGAACAAAATATCATACATTGATCCCCTAACAACCCATTATGGTGTTCTGGGATCCAGTGAAGTCGTTACATAGAACTCCAGGTAAGATCCCCCAGAACTAGGCAGCCTGCCTGTCATCAACCACCCTGTGCTGGAATTTTCCCCTAATGAATAAAGATTACAAGGGACCAATCACTGGGCAAGAAGTGGGACTTCCGGATCAGGAAGAGGAAGAGGGAAGGCAGGAGAAAGAAGCCTTCATTTTGGATGGCGGGAGCAAGAGAGGCAGACAAAATGTAGGTAGCCAGAGGCTATCGGTTTGAGGGGCGGATCCACTTGAGGATTTATGACATAAATTAGTTTACAAAATTAGGATGTTAGATTCTGCACCCAGCGACTGTGTTACCTGTTGGTTCTAAACTAAGATTGAGTGGTGTTTTCCTTCTCACGGGGACTCAACTGGGTTCCAGAGGAAGGTACAGCAGCAGAGCATGGGCATGCAAGAGTGCATCCTAGCCAGCCTTGAGAATATGGAAGAGTGGGGGATTGGAGTGGCAGCTGCCAGCCCTGGGAACTTAGTGAACCGGGTAGAGAGACAGCTGGTGTGAGACAGGCCCTGGCTAAAAGGAATAATGTGGTCTCCGTCTGTCTGCTGGGCTGAAAACAGACAGAGGCTGCCGGCTGTTGCTTAGCCTGTACTAGCATGGATTTGCCCTTTTAAAAATACTTCACACAACACCACCCTACCTACCACATTGCTCAAGGACAAAGGGAAGGCTGGCCGAGATTTCCTTGTCAGCCCGCCTGTCTGCCACCTCATCCACACAGTGTACCACCACATAGCTGAACCGAGGTAAGTTCTTATACCCCGTTTTCACATCAGCACAGAATAACCAAGACTGGAAGGCAAGCCCAATTTAGCTGGCCTACAATCTGACAAGTTGGGTCACAGCAAAAAAAAAAAAAAAATCTAATAGCCACTCAACCTAGGCAAGACCAAGTAGTCACACCAAGAAAAAGAACCATTAACTTAACTCAAGATGTTTAAGTCCCTTTGAAAAAAC